GGCCAGGATGACTAAGCCACTTCTGGCGAACCAGAGCAGCGCACGGAAATGCCGTTTACCTTCCCACCGGAGCGGTACCTATTTATCTACTTGCACTTTGACGTGCTTTCGAACTGCTAGGTTGGCAGGAGCTGGGACTGAGCAACGGGAGCTCAAACTGTCATGGGGATTTGAACCGCCGACCTTCTGATTGGCAAGTCCTAGGCTTTGTGGTTTAACCCACAGCGCCACCCGCGTCCCCAGGAATAGTTAGGGGCTAGGAAAACAAGTAAATATCTGAGAGGTGGTTTAGTGAGTGAGAGCAGGTAGTGGAAGTTATAGGTCTGGATAGGCACCCTATGATTGTAATTGACCGATACCATTTATGAAACCACACGCTTGTTAAACTGCAATAAATAAACAGAAATTTATGTTCCAATTTAACCCTGACTGGACTCAGTATTGTACCAGGTAGGGCCTGGGTGGTGGCAGTGAGAAATAAAGTGGTGGCACAGGGATCAATAGACGTCCGGGGACCCTGTGTGATCACCATTCTCTCCAACTTGTGTTCCTTAGCAACTGGTATCCTACACAAACCAAGCATTTGAAGGTGCAGCTACACATATATACACAGAGAGTGGTATTATAATCCAGTTGACTAAAGGGCTTTAAATACAGTGGGCTAGATCCAGACTACGTTACCTGCACATTGGTCCCATTGAAACCAATGGGTTCTAAACTATTTGCGACTATCCCCATTGATTTCAGTGGGATCCAAGTTCCACTAACCTAAGTCTGTTTTGAACCATGGTGAGGAGAAATTCTGCCTTGAGACCAAAATCTCAACCCTGTGAAATCTAAATACATCAGATATATTTGCCAACGTTACGTTGTTTGGCCATGTGTGCTGGTCCCGGGGGGAGGTTACCGTGAGGCGTGGTCAGAGTCCTGTCCTGGGTCGAGGGTCTGGAGACTGTCCACCAAGGGCGAAGCGGGGTCCAAAGCAAGAAGCTGGGCATGGTCGGGAACTCTGGAAGAACAGGTCTGGGTGCCTGCAGAAACAGGTTTCCAACGACGTTGCTCCTGCAACCTGGGACCGGGCTGACTGGCCTTTATCTTCTCTGAGGCCAGGGACGGTCCCGGCCCCCAGGTGACCCACCTCTCCTGGCCTTAAGGCGAGCACTCCTCCTGGGAGAAATTAGTTCCCTCCGCCTCTCTGCCCTGAGCCTTTGCAGCTCAGGAGAGGCTGGAGGGTTACTGGACCCAGGGGGAGGCTCACCTTCCCCTGACAGGGCTGGGAGAGGCGCACCTGTAGGCAATGGGTCCTCAATCACCTCCGGAGCCAGAGTGGATTCATCTGGTGTCTGCTCCTGAGGATCCGGCACAGGTGCGGGCCCTTCAGATTCAAGCCCCTGCCCTGGCTCAGCCGGCCCTGGAGGCGGGGACTCCTGTGCAGGCTGGGATTCCTCCGGTTCAGCCTCTGAATCAGATTCCCAGGCCATCACACCATGGAGCATGAAATCGCTGTCGGACAAAGTATGTGAAAAGAATGTCTGGAAAAATGCATCCATACACAGGAGCTGTGACTATCTAGCAAATTTATGGCAAAGTCCACATTGCAGTGGAATTCTTCAAGGAGCACTATAAGAGAAAAACTTCACATTCAAATTTACCTCAGGAAAGTTCATTGAGATGGGCTGTAGAGCACGAGACTCTATCTCAGGGTCATGTGTTGCAAGAATCTCTACAACTCAATGATTCTATAGAGTTCGTTTGTATAATCTGAACTCACTCAGAAGGAATGTTTTTCAGATTTAGAGACATGGGCTTTGGAGAATGTAGACAGAATCCTTCAGAAGAGCATTCATTCAGCCCTAACCTTTCCTTTCTGGTGAAGAAATGTGCACATAAGTTGAATTGTTTTGGTATTTATTTGCGTTTCCTTTATCGTTGCTAATGGTTATGGGTCGTCCTCAGTGGTTGTTTGCCATTTGTAGCTAAATAAATGCATTCTTCATGTTTTGTTGTCTGCATTTTTAAAAGAGTTTTACTTGGGTATGGTATTCGCTTTATCAATTTAGTCTGGGAAGGGATCTGCCCACTCTCAAAGGCCAAAATATTTACCTTCAGCTGAGAGGTTAAATAAACACAGCAGCAAAATGGCCATGTTGTTCACCACGGCTCACAAAACATGGTTAGACCAAAATCAATACGAAGGAATTTCATGGTGATGAACAAACATTCCATGAATTGAGGAGGAGGTTTTGTGTGTGTGTGTGTGTGTGTGTGTGTGTGTGTGTGTGTATTTTGGCATCATACATTTTTATCATTGTAACGCTATGAATAATTAAAAAACACCCTACCACTTTGTACCTCCACTGCTGTTGTTCTACTATAAATTACAGTAGCATTTTTATTTTAACTTCAGAAAGAATATATCCGAGAGCCTATCGCTGAAGATATGTCTTTTCTAATAATGCTTCCATTTTCCGTATTCAGTAATATTTTTATTTTCCAGTACTGAAACTATAGGGGAAATGCGAACAGATGGAACATTTCATTCAAATGTGCACGAGTCCTGGCCTTTAAAACCTGGCATGCGTAATCATAGGTCCAGATTCTCCAGTGTGTTTATAGCCCTTCAATGCTGCTAAAATGACACAAAAGAAAAACATCATTACTTGTCAGCGACAATGGTTGTGCTGAAGAATTTCACTGTAACTGGGTCCTGTGGCTTTGCCACAAATGGTTCGTTGGATAGCTATATGTGATGAATTGGTACATGAATGGGTGTCATATACACAGAGCTAGACAGATGGCAAGCTGGTCAGCAGTTCACTATTTGCAGTATACATAATCTTATTTTGTGATCTCCACACAGAAGAATGTGCATGATGTTGACTCATTGACGGAGTTGTCCTTTCCAAATACTCAATTTGTGATTTAAATAAAATAATAGATGCTTTGATAGCTACAGTCTTTCTAACAACGGCTTCATTTTACAATTGTTATATTTACATTCCTACCTGGTCCACACTAAAAATTACCTAGTTCCCAGAAACTTGTGGGAAATGATATATAATGAACTGAAAGAAATATTGAAAATAACTTTCCCTAAGAAACCAGAAGCTTTTCTTTTAGGTATTGTAGGACCCAAGATCCCAATGGACCAGACGAAACTATTTATGTACACGAACACGGCTGCACGGACTCTCTTAGCCCAGAAATGGAAAGATGGTACAACTCCGACCAAAGAAGAGTGGCAGACAAAATGGATGAACTAAGCTGAGATGGCAAAGCTGACAGGAAGAATTAGAAACCAGGAAGAGGAGGTCTTTAATAAAGAATGGGAAAAACTTGTAATTTATTTGAAAAGCTGTTGTAAACAATTGCATACATTGGTAGGATTGGCAGAAAACTTGTAGTAAAAAAAATGAATTATGGATTGACAAAGGATTTATAAAAATAGAGTTATGATAGATATGCAGAGGGGGAAATCATTACATTAAGATCCACAATGGTGGGGAGGGAAGTCAAAAGGGATCATATGTTTATGTAAAATAAACTTTATCTAAAAAATAAAAATTACCTAGTTCTAGCTATTTTAAAATGTTTGGCAAAGCAAGGAGGCTGAATTTGGCTATATGGAACGAGTAGGTTTTATTATCGCAACAACGGGTGTCCTGCCGAAGAGAAGAGAAAGGGGGGATTGTATCGAGACAGGGTTGTAAAGACTGCGGAGAGAATAATTGGGTGCACTCTTCCCACCTTGGATCAAAACTGTGCTTCCAGGTGTCATAAGAAAGCTGCAGAGATAGTGCAGGATAGTGCGCACCCCGGAAATGATCTCTTTCAGCTTCTGCCTTCTGGAAGAAGGTAAAAGGTAAAGGGATCCCTGACCATTAGGTCCAGTCGTGACCGACTTTGGGCTTGCAGCGCTCATCTCGCTTTATTGGCCGAGGGAGCCGGTGTACAGCTTCCAGGTCATGTGGCCAGCATGACTAGGCCACCTGCATCCCTTCTGGAAGAAGGTACAGGGTTATAAAGACTAGAACTAGCTGCCTGAGAAACAGTTTCTATCCAAATGTGATTTTGGTTTTAAACGCAGTGTAAGGTAGTCTCCATGGGAGTATATTGTATTTAATTATGGGGTATCAGAGTTGTAGGGGGCTAACCAGGCTGGGATAGCAGGCTTGTTGGTTTTTGAATGTCTGATGTAGATTTTTCAATCTCGTTGTTCTGTGTGGGACAATGACATTAAAGATTATCGTATCGTATTGAAGCAGAGGACTTGGGGCAGAGGCTACAGGAGAATCCAAGGAGTCTGCATCTCCTTCTGCGACAAGCTCCTCTCCGTCCTTGACTCCAAGGGCATTCAGGAGGATGGGTTGGGCAGAACAGAGATTAGAGGTCCGCTGACGTAGTTTGAGGCTGCTTGGGAAACATCCAGCAGAGGAGGAGATCTCCATACAGCAGGAGGAGGACGGGGACCATCAGCCCTGGCAACTGCTTGATAGGGGCAAGTCCTGATGGAAGAAGAAGAAGAGTTTGGATTTGATATCCCGCCTTTCACTCCCTTTAAGGAGTCTCAAAGCGGCTAACATTCTCCTTTCCCTTCCTCCCCCACAACAAACACTCTGTGAGGTGAGTGGGGCTGAGAGACTTCAAAGAAGTGTGACTGGCCCAAGGTTACCCAGCAGCTGCATGTGGAGGAGCGGAGACGCGAACCCGGTTCCCCAGATTACGGGACTACCGCTCTTAACCACTACACCACACTGGCTGATGGAAGGCATTGCTGGGTTTTATGCCGTTTTCTTGAATAAAGAATTAACTACACTGCCCGCCTCTGCGTCTTGTGTGCTGACCTGCATCTGCCCAAGCTCTGACAGTTGACAACAGGATGGAATATACCCCTCCTATTTTCCAGGCCACCACCCTCCCAAAATGAAGCCCATACAAATTAGGGCAGTGCTTCTTGTGAAGCTAGACAACAAAGTATCATTCTGGAACAGTTTCTCAGCCCTTTTGCAACGATCCCCCAAGTGAGCATCTTTTATTTCTGACAAACATTTTCACAAAACTGGCCACCCCATTTCGGCTCATCGCTAGTTTTTGTTTCATTGTGTTGTGGGTGTTCATTTATGAAGCTTTAATACTGCAAAGTATTATTTTGGTTTATTCATGTCTGCACTTATGACTGGCACCTGCAAACAATTTAACAGTTATTAAACCGCTTTATTATTTCTGCTGGGGAAGTGCAGATTTCGCAAAAGACAAAATATGTAGGGGATGTTAATTATTTTGGGAGTTTGCTAGTCGAAGATAAGCCACAATACTGTAGTGAGGTGACGCATTGATGGAGCTATGCCATAAGATGTAAGAAATAAAATCAAAACTTTTTAATGGTCCAAAGTGCTATAGACAATTTGATAAAACAATACATAATACAGGAGCTCCTCCATAAATCTAGCTTCTCTAGATGTAATCAGCAGCTTCAGTCAGAAAACTTATTTTCTATGTTCAGTGGAAAAGAGGTGAACTATCAATTCCAATGATTGAATGGCCTGCTAGACTTTATAAATGAAATATATCATCAACTTGCTGACTTACAAGTTCTCTCTTTGCTCTGCAAAATGTCAAATTTCAGCATTCTGCTGAGTCACACACACACACACAGTGTCCTCTCTTTGTTTGCAAAACATGCGTTCTCAATTTTTAGCCTTCATCATATTGTAAGTCATTACATCAATCTAACGGGTACTTCTGCAAAGCATTATTGTCATTAATAACTTCACAATATTTAGAGGCATGGTGGGCTGTCCCTTTCTGGAGTTCTTCAAGTGGATGCCAAACAGTCATCGGTTGGAGGTGTTTACTCAAACCTTTGCTCTTCTCTAAAACCATAGTTTTCCTCTCTGTATCCCTCTATCCGTGCTTTACTCAACCCTCAGGCATTGTTTAAAACTGTCATTTTCCTTTCAGTGCTCTTCCAATCCACTTTACTTAAACTTCTGTCACTGCAATCAAACTTCTTCCTCTGCTATTCCTCAGCTGCCTCATGAGAGAGATAAAGGACATGGAGTTCTCAAATATTCCATACAACAATACAGTGGTACCTCGGGTTACGTACGCTTCAGGTTACATACGCTTCAGGTTACAGACTCCGCTAACCCAGAAATAGTACCTCGGGTTAAGAACTTTGCTTCAGGATGAGAACAGAAATCGTGCTCCAGCGGTGCGGCAGCAGCAGGAGGCCCCATTAGCTAAAGTGGTGCTTCAGGTTAAGAACAGTTTCAGGTTAAGAACAGACCTCCAGAACGAATTAAGTACTTAACCCGAGGTACCACTGTACAATGAAGGCACTTTTTTCAAATCTCTGCTGTTGTTTAAAACCACCATTTTCCTCTCAGTTTCCTCCACCCCTGCATGACTCAAACTTCTGCCATTGTTTCAAACCACTACCTCCACCCTCTCAGTGTCCCTCCGTTCTTGCTCCTATGATGTGCAACTTGTCTTCACTTTTGCCTCCCTGCCCAGACCGTGGCTTTGTGCAAATCCAGGATTGCAAGGTGGCACTATAAATCCTCCAGTGAAGGCTGCACGATGACATTCTTACATCTTTATTATATAGAGAGGTTATCAAGAGAGGTGTTGGCTTCAACTGAGTTTGAGAAAGGACCTGTAAGTAGCTTTAGGAAATTTTGGGATGTATTTACTTTGTTTTATTTTAACAGTAATTTCTGTAGCATCCCGAGTAATAGCAAATGCCGTTCTCCCTTTAGAAAATGAAGTAGGAAAGCTTGATTTAAACAAAAATTAAGGACAAGTCACATTTGAATATTATATCTTTGGGCACAGAGCCAAGCATGGATGCATCTAGCTCATTTTTGGATCCAGGCCAAAGTCTCAGAGTCCCAGTTGTTCAATTTTATAGCTAGTGAACAAAAGTGGGGGGAGATGCAAGAGATGTAATATGGTTGTTTAGTAACCAATGTTTCAGGGCTTGTTAAGGTGCAAATGCAGGCATTTATGTGCAAGAAAAGCGTAAAATTAATACTGCATTCCCCTTCCCACAAAAAAACAGAATATAGTGGATGCAACAGAATAATGTATGCAAGCTTGCATTTTTTAATATCAGCAATGCAGCTCTATGTAAAGCCATGAATCTAATAATGAAAACTGGGGCGGGGGGGTTAATAATATTACTGGATCAGCCCATTTATATATACACTACTATAGAGAAGCATCTGAATATTCTTGTGCTGATTTTTGAAACGTATACAATGTCACATTCCTTCATTCTCCATTCTCACAGCCACCTATTCAAAAGTCAGGAAAATACATCTTCATGTTTGTTTTCTTCCTTAATTTTATTGGTGCTTTTCTTTAACTATATCCACTATCAGAATACTGAAGGTGTTCATACACCCGTTCCCAACACTGCAGAGAAAATTACAGCTCGCATAAGTATTTTCACAGCTAACAAGGTTACTGGGTGTTGCCTGAGGTGTGGTTTCTAAGACCAGCAGCAGAATTTGAGAACTGGGCAAGATTTTTAGGGTTTTCTGGAGCAGGAAATCTCCTTTCCTCGGGACACTAGCAGCCAATCAGATTACAGCAAGCGAGGGCAAGAAGGAAAAGGGAAACGGCAGAAGAAAAGATGGTAACTAGGAACAAAAGGATGCCAGCCAGCATAGAAGCTATGTGACTGTTTCGTTCCAGAAATTTGTCAGTGTGCAAATTTGTCAAAGTGAATATCAAAATGAGAAAATATTAGACATAGTATTCACTTTTTAAACAACCTGGTTGCTGGCTAAGTTCACAGGCAAATCCTAGTGAAAAGAAATCTTAAGAAACCCTTCTTTCTGGGAAATGTTTCAATATAAAAACCCACAAAATAAATAGGATGCCCTGTCTCCTTTTAAAGGTCATGTATAACGTTGTTTGATGTTACCAATAAGAGGTGAAGCTGTAACACAAAAGGAGGAGCCAAAATCCATTTAGCGCAATGAATCAAAGGTTACCAGCCATCAGGGGAGAGTGACAAAAAGGCTTGTTGAGAAGATCAATCTGAAGACAGGCTATTAAGTAATGAGTTAAGTAATTAAGAATTAAGTAATGGCTGTTATATCAAGATTGCCATGCTGATGAATGAAACTATAACCACGTTGTAAAATGTAATCTTAAACATGCACGCCACCCATAGCACAAAGCTCTGATATTCTTTATCTTTACATCGCCTTATTGATATTAACCAATTATTACAACACCCCCATGAAGTTTGTGCAACATATAGGAAGATGGCAACCCTAATGGATGATTAACTCATGAGAAAGGATCCGTTATATCCTTTCTTCTGCTGTGCCCTTTGACCAGCCGTCTGTATCAGATGAACCATCATTGACAAACGTCTTGGCTAACATTTCCCCTTCTCCTAATTCTTACCAAACTCTGAACCGTTTGCACACACTACATTTTCATGGTGCTTATCCCAAAGGTAGTTGCCATCTGTTACAACACTGTGTTAGCCATGGCATGAAGCTGTTCATGTCTGGAATGAGCATACAAGAAGAATCTGCTGGATCAGACCAATCATCCCTCTAAGTCAGGGGTAGGCCACCTAAGGCGCATGGGCCACAGGCAGCCCACGGGGGTCGTTTAACTGGCCCACAAGCCAGTGGCGGAGCTTCATGCTCCGGCACCGGGGGCAGAGAGCAGGCGGGGCAGGGCTGGCGCATGTCCCAGGGGCAGAGAGTGCCACCTGCAGGGGCAGGGCGTGCGTCCCAGTGGCAGAGCACGAGTCCTGGGGGCGGGGCACGCCACCTGCGGGGGCAGGGCACCCAGCGCGGGTGGGGCAGCCATGATGGCACCCTGGGGATCAAGCTGCCCCCAAACCCAGCCGCCCGCTTAGCGAGTCCCCGCGCACTGCACTAAACCAGCGCAGTGCGGCGTGGGGACTTGTTTCTGCGGTGCCGGAAATCACGCCTGCACAGACACCAGAAATTGTGCCTGTGCAGATGCAGACGCCAGAAATCGCGGGTGCGCACGCTCACATGCATGTACAATCCAGCCCACGGAGGGATCTCCGCTGGAGTGAACCCGGCCCAGGCGAGGTAAACGTTGCCAACCCTTGATCTAAATCCATGATCCTGCTCTCACTGTGGCCAAAGGAAAACGTTCAAGCAGGACCTGAGTACAAGAGTAAAGTGGTACCCCGGGTTAAGAACTTAATTCCTTCTGGAGGTCTGTTCTTAACCTGAAACTGTTCTTAACCTGAAGCAGCACTTTAGCTAATGGGGCCTCCTGCTGCCGCGCTGCCAGAGCACGATTTCTGTTCTCATCCTTAGCCCGAGGTACTATTTCTGGGTTAGCGGAGTCTGTAACCTGAAGCGTCTGTAACCTGAGGTACCACTGTACTTTGCCCAGTTGCTGGTTTGCAGCAACTGGTATTAAGAAGCAATACTGCCTCCAACTGTCTCATCGTACATGCTCAAGAGAGCAAGAGGAAGGAGTAGCAGCTAGCACCACCACCACCTATTCTTAGAAAGGACAGGTGAGTGAGCAGCAAGATACAACATCCAGTTGCTTGCAGGTTGAGGTGGATCCCACTGGACAGCAAAAGTGTGGGCATCTGCCTAAGCACTTAGACAGGCCCTGCGGTTGAGTCTTCCTCACCTCAAGCAAATTTGCTCTAGCAATTTAACAGAGCAAAGTTTTCAACTATGTAGGGCTTGTCATCAAAAACAATCACGAGTGCCCATTTTACTGGCAGTGTCTGTACAAGGTACCAAAACTCTGTAGTTTTCATGCAAGACTACACTATTCCAGCCACAGAGATGTACCATAACTTTTCTACAAGCATTAGGAAACTTGCCATAAAAACAGTGGGGGACATGGCCCCTTGTTGCCTGTTTCTGTACCACTCTGTCAAATGGCCCCTGGAAGCTTTGCTAGATCAATCACCGACTGACGCACCTATTGACCCACTGAGGCTGTATGGGGGAAAGTCCCTCAAAAGTCAGGATTAGAAAACCTGAAACAGTCAGTGACAATGTAAGGGTTTCAAATAAGCCTCACCTTGATTAGAACATACTAAATTCTTTCTATTACGTGTTCAGACCCAGAAACCTCCCCCTAAATAAATTCACACATGACTCAAATTTTAGTTTTGGTTTTTGGCAGAATTTAGGCCACAACTTTATTGATTACAGAAAGTGACTGGTTGCATAGGTTCTGATTCGACTAGCTCCCTGCCATGCAGGTAGCACCGACCCAGGGTTCCAGCATAGGTCAGCCAAGGGTGAACACCTGGATAAGCGGAAAGCCGGGAACGGGCTAACTCCGCCACCCAAATACCCCCCTGGACTCAGGCATGGGCACAACCCCCTCTCAGGGGTCGACCAAACCATTGAGTCCCTAGATTCCTTTAACAGAATACCCTTCACACAGGAATGGCGAGAGCGTTTTCCCATCCCTATCACCTGAACCAGAGCCTATCCGCAACCTTACAAGTTGTGATGGTTTGCTACGCGGCGGGCGAAACCCAAATGGCAACGGCCAATCAGCCAAGTGGGGGAAATTCCTGCCATGCCCCTGTTCCAACGACAGACGATGGCATAGCAAGGTCAAGCACAAAGCCCTAAAAGTAGGGAGAAGTGGGCGGGTTCTGAATTCACGCGCCGAAAGAGGAAGCTCTGGGTCATGTGCATGGGCATAAATAGGTCCCTCGAACCGTTTGGACTGCATCCCATTGGCCAGATTACACCCAGCTTTGAGGGACCTACCAATCGGGTGTTGTGGCTGACCAATAGAACCCACCCACAACACAGGGTGTCGGTTATCCAGGTCTCACCGCAATACGTGCCCTCTTTAAGGGAGGACCCGATTTCACCCAATAGCATGGTTGCAGAAGAAAGAAAATGCAGTTCTAACTTTGCAGTGGGATAAATATCACTCTAAAACTAAGCTGAATACTGCAGGAAAGTAAATCTGAATAAGTAATAAGGCTGCTTGCTTTACAGCTGTAAAGTGCTTTGGGTATTATAACTGTTTGCATTTTATTGTCTTGAGTTTGATTCCATGGGAATAAAATATGGTAATTTCAAACTTTTAAGTCCCCAAACAACATCCCAAATCACATGCATTGCTCGATCCTTTTTCTTAATTCTATGCACCAACACTTCATTATTGGAAAGTCAAATTTGCAACTTGCTGGAGATGGGGTTAGTAGCACACACACACACACACACACACACACACACACACACACACTGCAGTGCTGCCAAGATAAGAAAATGCAGGAATAAAAACATTGGTCCAATACCATAGATATTGCTGGTCTCCCCACTGAGCCATTGTCTACCCTGACTGATGGCTGTTCTCCAGGTTTTAGACAAGAGTCCTTCTCAGCCTTACCTGGAGATACCAAGAATTGGTTATCTGCAAAGTTTATTTGTGAAGCTGGGCAACTTTTACTGAAAGCTGTAAGTGTAAACAAGCTAGAACAGGTAGGAGGTTGTTATAACTGTTTTATCCATTTTGAAAAAAGGATCCATTTCATTCCAATGGGGTTGTGCCCTAATGACAATTAAAACACTACTTTTACCAAATATCCTCAGGAAACCCTTTCCATCTCAAAACCTCCACATGACTTCCGTAAAAACCCTTGCACATTGCAAAGGATTCTGGGAACAGTGGAATGTTAATGGTGACAACCTCAGTTCACATGGCACACTCACTTTACGTGACACCTCAGTTCACTAGTTTGTTATGCTTCATACAGACACCTTGTGAGAACTGAGAGTGTGGCCTAGAATCCATTGCAAATATCCTATGCACTGCGTATTGCAAGTGAACACTGAAAGAGGGACAATCTGTTTTTCAGCATGTGCTATTAGGGTTTTCTCAGTCAGGAACCTGTTAAAAGTGTCCACAAAACACAGCTTGAAAACCACTGGTGTAAAGAATTGCTGGTTATATTTTCAAGTAGGGGAGTGATTTGGATTTCCATGACATGCCTGGTGAAAACACTGCATTAATTTTAGGTTGTAATCCAGGGATGGGAAACTTGGGGGGGGGCATATGATATTGGGCACCAACTCCCATCATCTCTAGCCAGCATAGCCAATGGTTAGGGCTGGCAGGAACTGTAGCCCAAACACATCTGGAAGGCCATAGTTTCTTCATTGGACTCAATGGTACTTCTGAGTAGATATGTCTAAGAGTGTGCTATGTTACCAAGCCGAAATGGCTTACAGATTCAATCAAATATAAAATAAATTTCTACCTACCCGGTAGGATGATTCTGAAGATCAGAGTTTCTGGAAGTTCTTAACCAGCACATATAAGCCTCGTGATTCATGGCTTCCGACCCCTGGAGCCATCTAAAAAGAAGCAATATTTTTATAGCTTAGGGTTTTCTGTTTTGATCAATGATTAGGATGTTGCTAATTCTTTCTTTCACAGTATAACAGCCGTGCCATTCAGGTTTCTGCTTTTTTAACCTCTTGCAGCAGATAACTTCAAGCAAGTAGAGGAGCTGAATTTTAAAACTATGGATTTGGCGAACAATAGAGGAATAGTAGTGGATACTCGCTTGGATCAGAGCTATGAACTTGGCAGGTGTTGTGAGACATGACAATCTGTTATGAATCTGTTCTGCATCTCTTCCTGGGTTAAATGTAGTTCCATCATTAACTGGGCTGGGGGAAAATAGAATTGATATATTTATGGGACATTAAACCTCTAAAATAATAACGATTCCACTTTGCTATATACTATCAGTCACATCCACCAGCAGAAGGTTGAAGCTGGTTTGCCCAGACAAATGGCGATCAAAAAAACTGGACAGCAGACATTTTTGGGTTTTGGATAGTGTTCTGATGTTTCTGTGAGTCTAGTAGCCCCAAATGTGTGCTTGCATATGATATTCACTTTGAAAAAGGACACTATTTCAAAGACACTATTTAACTCCAGTACTGTCACCTCCTAAGAAAACTACAGCTGTGAATACCGCCATGGAGTTTTCAATGCAGTCAGATCTTCTTGGACTCCAGCTCCCATAAAACCCAATGAGCACAGCCAATGGACAGGCATTATGGGAGTTGGAGTTGAGCATCTTTTGGAACTCTAAATGTATAAACTGCCACACTTTTCTCTCTTCGGATTCATGGGATGGGAGATATTCTTCCCAGTGTTTCCACTAGGCATTACTGTACAAATAAAATGCAAATGGCCGAAATATTGGGAAATTTTGGAGCAAGAGGGAGATAGACTGAAATTGCAGAGTTTTGAGAAATTAAAAAACAAAGTGCAAGACTGGCTTCATTATTATCAGATAATGGAGGCATATAATTTGGACAAGAAAATTGGCTTCCAGGTGGAAAAATCAAAATTAGAAACAGAACTGCTAGAACCCAAAACTAAGATTTTGTCAAAGATGTATAGCTTGCTGTTGAAATGGAATACACAGGATGAAACGGTGAAATCTGCTATGATTAAATGGGCACAAGATGTTGGACATAACATAATGATGGCTGACTGGGAACAGTTATGGACCACAGGTATGAAGTTCACGGCATGTAATGCCTTAAGAGAGAATATTATGAAAATGATATACAGATGGTACATGACACCAGTCAAGCTTGCAAAAATCTATCATTTGCCCGATAATAAATGTTGGAAATGTAAAGAAACTGAAGGTACATTCTTTCACCTTTGGTGGACGTGCCCAAGGATTAAGGCTTTCTGGGAGATGATTTATAATGAAATGAAAAGGGTATTTAAATATACCTTTCTGAAGAAACCAGAGGCCTTTCTCCTGGGCATGGTGGGCCAAATGGTGCCAAAGAAGGACAGAACTTTCTTTATGTATGCCACAACAGCAGCAAGAATACTTATTGCAAAGTATTGGAAGACACAAGATCTACCCACTCTGGAAGAATGGCAGATGAAGGTGATGGACTACATGGAATTGGCGGAAATGACTGGCAGAATCCGAGACCAGGGAGAAGAGTCGGTGGAAGAAGATTGGAAGAAATTTAAAGACTACCTACAGAAATATTGCAAAATTAATGAATGTTAGAATGATGTCAGAATGAAGTTACCGGTAAGTGGTTTAAGCAGCAATGTTATAAAGGTGTATGTAAAAATGGATTGTTAACAGGTGAGAATCCAAAGTTATAATATATTATGTTAAAGGACTAAGATAAAAACAAAGAGGGAAAGAAATTGCTGAATTAACTAACTGAATTGGAATACCTAAAAGGGAGGTGTGAGGAGGTCAGGGAAACAAGGAAATGAATGTAAGGTATGGAAAGACTGGTGTATTTTTTTAAAGTGTTTTTTATCTTTTTTCTGTATTTTGTATTTTTTCTTTTCTTTTTACTTTTGTCTTTCTTTTTTTTCCCTTTTTTAAATTCATGTAATTCTTTTCTTTGAAACTTTAATAAATATCATTTTTTTAAAAAAAACACAAATAAAATGCAAATGGCTCCCAAAGAAAAACTGAAGTCGCAGCGACAGGATCTCTTTTACAAGAAGAACTCCCATCTGCATAATGCAGAACATGAAAACCTGCAGAATTGTTTTAGATATATGAGGGTTTTTAAAAAATAATCTGTTATTTTCTGTATCGTTAATTTTCTTAACAAGCTATAGCAGTTGGTGGTGTCTTTTCTTTCTGGTGGTGTTTCTCTGCAGAAAGAAATTTTCCCCATTACCCAAATGTGCTATTTTTTTCTCCCACGGTCGCCATCTTGGTCTACAGCAAGTTATTGTTTTTAAACGAAGCAACCATTTGGGTAACCAGCCTGCAGATAGTGCAAAATGTTCTAAACTATACATAGCTCAAGACTCAACTCTCTCAGAAGTCTGGTTGGGTAGAAGCAGCCAATGCTATGCTGAGTATGATTTAAGGAGGGTCTCTGCCAAGTTGGGAACTGAAAGTGCAGCTGAATCTCAGTTTTAGGTAACAGAACCCTTTCTGAAAAAAAAATTAGCCCAGCCCTCTCCTCAAAGTACTCCTAAGATTGTAGACTTAATATTCAGCATGAGATAAAGAATGGTGCAAAGTGTTTTAATGAATCAGAGATCATGTCTCATCATGATTTTTATTTTTGTTTGATAATTTTTTAATGGAATTTACTTTGATAATTTAGACTGAAATCTTCAAGCCATTAACTCTGGAATAGTCTGTGCTGATTGAAAACAGTTTTTGGTTTTTTCAAAGGCTAAATTACAAGCTTACTAATATAGCAAAGAAAGAAAGAAAGAAAGATCATTTTACCATGACTATTGAAGATGTTTATGATGTAGGCTACAATACCATAAACATTTACCTGGGAGTAAGTCCCACTGAAGGGACACGGGTGGCGCTATGGGTTAAACCACAGAGCCTAGGACTTGCTGATCAGAAGGTCGGCGGTTCGAATCCCCACAACGGGGTGAGCTTCCGTTCCTCGGTCCCAGCTCCTGCCAACCTAGCAGTTCGAAAGCACCTCAAAGTGCAAGTAGATAAATAGGTACCGCTCCGGCAGGAAGGTAAACGGCGTTTCTGCACGCTGCTCTGGTTCTCCAGAAGCGGCTTAGTCATGCTGGCCACATGACCCGGAAGCTGTCTGCGGACAAACGCCGGCTCCCATGGCCTATAGAGCGAGATGAGCGCCGCAACCCCAGAGTCGGTCACGACTGGACCTAATGGTCAGGGGTCCCTTTACCCCTTTACCTTTAAGTCCCACTGAACTTAATATGGCTTAATTCAGATGGCTTGCTCTGTCAGGCCATTGCTATTGTCTCAGAAGGTGTGCCTCTGACAGTATGCTCTTTTGCATTTCTACTCACTAATAAGTACCACCAAATAAAAGGGTGTTTCCATAAGTGTGTATAGGAGTGCAGCCTGTGTGTCAGTTAGTGTTGAGGTGAAAGAATGGTGACCTTTCTGGGGCTTGTACAACTGAATCATTTTGAGAGTAGCGAGGACAGTTCCGCTGTTCTATAGGCACAAGTGCATGTACAGAGTGTGATTGACTAGTTGGCGCAGAATATAGATGCGCATAGCGCTGAAAGTAACGTAGGGTGGGTGGATAATATCTGTATAGATGAGACTGAAGCAGAGCCATCTTGCAGAATTCTTCGTGACTGGAGCTGGATCAGGGTGAATACCTTGCTGTGCGGACAGATGAAATTGCCAGCTCACCTCCGCAAGATAGGATGCTTCACCCATTACTTGGGCAACAGGTATGCATTTCAGAGGGACTGCCTTGGGGTTCAGGATGTTCTCAATTTGATTGGCTGCATTCTCTGTGAAGGTGACATTCTCACATAGAGGATATAGATTTCCATAAAATGTGCATGCGTTGATTTATACGTATGGATGCCATTTTAAAAACAATAACTCTAATTTAAATAAACAATATTATGCATCTCATGATAGTGGAGTAGCCTGTGACCAGGTGGGCGTCCTCAGTCTGCTGTCCTGGTGCTGTCAATGCGCAACTTCCAAGATCTCTGTCTCTCCCTTTTTATGGTTCTTTATCTTAAAACTAGACAGCTCTTCAAAAACTAGACAGTCCTCTGCAAAGGACACAGGGCCACAGTACAGTTCAGACAGAAGTCTTTTCCTAGCCCTGCCTGGAGACCTTTTCCTGTTTCACGGAATGTACCGTATTTTTCGCTCTATAAGACGCACCAGACCACAAGACGCACCTAGTTTTTGGAGGAGGAAAACAAGAAAAAAACTATTCTGAATCTCAGAAGCCAGAACAGCAAGAGGGATCGCTGCGCAGTGAAAGCAGCAATCCCTCTTGCTGTTCTGGCTTCTGGGATAGCTGTGCAGCCTGCATTCGCTCCATAAGACGCACACACATTTCCCCTTACTTTTTAGGAGGGAAAAAGTGAGTCTTATAGAGCAAAAAATACGGTATGTGATCCACCTTTCCTATTGATCAAGCCTAAAATGCATATGATCAGGGCTTTATTTCAGCACCTCTCAGGTGTGCGCCATTGCCTTTCTAAGAGAACAAGAGAGGCGTTTGTGGTGAGTTCTGGCACCTCTTTTTCTAGATGAATAGCACTGCATATGATTATCTTGGAAAGAAGACCAATAAACTACAGGTCCCATGTGTCATGCTCCTCAAGGGGCTTCTGAGAATGGAAATAGCAATTCAGAAGCGCTATTTCTGCTTATTTCACTTAGCAAGCTGGGTCAGGGATAAGCACAAAAGATGAAACTAGATAAGCTAGTCTTAGATGTACCTTCCAACTCTAACCTTTATTATTATTATTATTATTATTATTATTATTATTATTACAGCTGATGTATAACTGGAATTTCTCCAACGGTTTTCACTAAGAGGGAAAAGTAAATGAGAATATTACTGTTTATAGTGCTGTTATAGAGTGTTTTTCTGTAATGCACGAGTTTGGTAATTAAATCTATTTCTGCTGGTCTTGTGGCCATATGTCTGCAATATGTAAAAATACATTTTGTTCTCTTCCCCCACCCCTCCTTTCTCAATCTCTTTATAAAAAAAAATCCTTTTGTTCCTAGTACAGACTGGCTGTCAGATTGAGCCCTCCAGATTCCTGTGCGCTGGTATCCACAAGCTCTTCCTTGCCAAGCTGCCAGTCTGAAGCGTCACACCTTAGTGCCTTTAAAGATTGCCCTGCAGAGATAGAGGGAAATGGCAATTTTTACATGATGCAGTCTGGCGGCCCAGGAGATTTGAAGTCAGAACTGGTGCCAAGATTTACCCAGGAGAGCAAGCAGAGGCAAAACAGAGAACCTGGGCCAAAGGAGGGGAGGGAGGGGTGGCGGAGGGGAGGGGGGGAAGCGAAGGGGGGAAGAAAAGAGGGGAAAACGTCAGAGCCGGAGAAAGGGTGTGCTAAAAGTACTGGTGGGGAGAAGGCTACTGAATGGACAGAACGGTAGCGTTTGCCTATGTTTACTAAAATGGTTGGGGTCCCAAAGAATGTCAAAGGGAAGAGGTTGATGTTTTTTGTCCCCCCCGCCCCAAATTGTAGTAGATTGCAGAATGTAAATGAGACAATTATTACACCAATGCTCATCAAGCTGTGCTGGAAAGACTTCAATAGCCTGATGAATATGCATGCAAATTTGTTAATTAAGTTAATTATTCTGCTGAAAATTCATTTGTCTTCCAAGGACATTTTCCCAATGATTTTAACATGCTTGTGCCATTAGTCATGCTCCATGCTATTTAACATTACTTTTTGTCCACTTTTTTCCCTTTACTTCTCCTCTCGTTTTTGTTTTTTTTTTAAGTTTTAAAACCAAACGATTGGCTCCCTTAATTGACCCCTGCAACGCTGGAAAGAGACTTCAGCTGGCTCCGTAGGAATCTCTTACGACGCATTTCATTTAAATATTTCTTTGACATAGAAAATGTCACCTAAGAGAATACAAAGCCGCCCAGCGGTACTATGTGTGCTGCTCCACGCAGGGAAGCGCCAAGAGGTAAATCGCTCCCCGCTATAGGGTATTTCTCCAGCTGTACTTTTATTTAACACCAGCAGCTACCCAACCGTGCTCCAAAAGGTATGATGATCTTTCCCTAGATTTCACCCTCCTATGAGCATATTACAGCATATTCAAGATGCTCGCTCAAACAGGAACAAGGTCTGTGAGACTTTTTCTGTCACCATGAGGCCCAAAACCTGTTACCATGGCAACCAAAGGGAACAGAGAGTTTAAATTCATATCGAAATGGCAAAATGGCATACTTTAAAGAAACAGAAGGGTTTTGTTTTGTTTTTTGGAGGGGGGGGGTTGTTTTAATTAAAAGAAAACCCAACAAACAAACCCTAAGCAAGAGGAGAGGACCACAATGGTGTTCCTCTTCCTAGTTTTAATGAGAGCTAAACCTTCTCGTTTTCTTTATTTCCACTTCAGTGGAGGCACAAAATATCGGAAATATTTAATGCCCAGAGCTGGCACTGCCAACACCCTTGGGGCATTCACCAGAGCCTTAGCACCCTGACAGAGGCCACCACAGGTGCATATTCTGGATCCTACTTTAAATATTTTTGCTGGGACAGAGCTCCGAGCAGCACCAGACAGCTAGGTGCGGCCGCCATTTTAATTCCCCAATGCTGCCTCTCCCTAATGTCATTCTGAAGCATTGCAGCAAATTAAAATGGCAGCTCCCCGGTACTGTTATACCTTGCCCTTGCAAGCTAAGCCTAGGAGAGTCTGTCAATTGGGGGGCAGTCACCAAAGGAAAATTCAAACCTGGAATTGACCCTGCTAATACCACGAAAAGGAAACCAGAATGGGAAGCCTCTCACGTACCACAGACCCTCCAAGGGCATCCCTGATTTAGGGAAGCTGTCCCAGTTTCTGACTTGATCCCAGAATGCCCCACTTTTCCTTAGGGTGTCCCTATTTTCAATGGAGAAATGTTGAAGGGTATGGAGCAGGCATAGGCAAACTCGGCCCTCCAGATGTTTTGGGACTACAATTCCCATCATCCCTGGACTACTGGTCCTGTTAGCTAGGGATTATGGCCATGGAGTTGTAGGCCAAAAACATCTGGAGGGCCAAGTATGCCTATGCCTGGTATGGAGTTATCCGACCCCTGCGTCATCTGAAGGCAATCTAGTATAAGGCTTTTTATTTCATGTTTAATGTTGTATTATGTTTTCATATATGCTGGAAGCCACCCAGAGTGGCTGAGGCAACCCAGGAAGATGTGTTGGGTATAAACAGTAAAATTATCATTATGGAATGGGACGTCCCTATTTCCATCGGATAAATGTTGGAGAGTATGGTACTATATGCCTCTGCAATGTCATATAGCTGAACCTACACAAGCCTAGAGAGAGCCTAGAGAAATAGGACTCTTATAAGTGGAGCTGTGTGTGGTCCTTTTGTTGTGCAACACACGATCCAAGGAAAGCTGGTAGAGCGGGGGTTATAAAAGATAAGAAAATTAGAGATAATGAAGTTTAAGAAATTAATTGGCAAAAGATCTCTCTTTTGTGCAGCCCTTCCACACTACAAAGTCTGAATGGCCCTGTAGTGTCACAGAGATCGTAAACCAATTAGGATGATATTTTAAACTCTGTAATTTCTGCAATTCCATCTGCTTTAGACGGTTTAATTAGGGAAAGTTACAAAAGCCAAATATATTTGACTATTTTGAAAGCAAGCCCAAAGGCAAGAAAGAAGAGTCACTTGGCAAAATGTGCAGTCATATTGCAAGGAGCAGGGTAGGGAAATGGGATTGGTGTTTCCGCCCCATCCCACACCGCACTCAAAAAAGGGAAGAATGTTTTAAGTGCCCTAAAAGGTAACGGATAACAGCTAAGATATCTGTTGTTTTCCGTACAGCAGTAGAATTTGGCCCCATCGCCTAGCCCTGTTCCTACTGAAAGGAAGCCTAAAATATCATGGGGTTAGAAAGATATAGGTAGGTAGCCATGTTGGTCTGCCGTAGTAAAAAATAAAATAAAGAAAATTCCTTCCAGTAGCACCTTAGAGACCAACTTTGTTATTGGTATGAGCTTTCGTGTGCATGCAGACTTCTTTAGATACACTGAAACAGAAGTCACCAGACCCTTATACAGTGGTACCTCAGGTTAAGTACTTAATTCGTTCCAGAGGTCCGTTCTTAACCTGAAACTGTTCTTAACCTGAAGCACCACTTTAGCTAATGGGGCCTCCTGCTGCCGCCGTGCCGCCGGAGCATGATTTCTGTTCTTATCCTGAAGCAAAGTATTTAACCTGAAGCACTATTTCTGGGTTAGTTGAGTGTGTAACCTGAAGCGTATGTAACCCGAGGTACCACTGTAGTGAGAGGGTGGGGAGGGGTATTATTCAGAAGGGTGGTGGGAATGGGTGATTGGCTGATAGGTGTGGTAAACCAGTTGATGACTGTTAACGACTGCAGTTAGTCTTATAGGAAAAAGCAAGGGACAAGATGGCCAAACATAGATTTATCATGTATACATGATCTGGTGGCTTCTGTTTCAGTGTATCTGAAAAAGTGTGCATGCACACGAAAGCTCATACCAATAACAAACTTAGTTGGTCTCTAAGGTGCTACTGGAAGGAATTTTTTTATGGGGTTAGAAAGTTTTGGTCCTCTTTGTGTGCATG